AGTGTCAGCAGAAATCTAGAAAGTCCTCCCAGGCAGGCAGGCAGGCAGGCATGCAGCCCACCATATCAGATTGCACGCTCTTTTATTTTTCCTTGGCACTTAAGAGGGATTCAACTAGGAATTGATAATGTTTAACATGTACACTACCACCTGCTAGGAAGGACATAACACCGCTCCAAAAAGAAAAGCTTAAATGTGTATAAAAATTCTTGTTTGTGGTGCTAGGAATAGAAATGAGGGTTACATGCATGCATGCATGCTAGGAAGGTATTCTCATGAGCAACACTACCCAAAAAAAAAAAAAAACAACAAAAAACCGTACACACACACACACACACACACACACACACGTATAATCACATACACACATTTACTTTTACCTGGAAAGTCAAGGAAAAATAAAAATAGACTTTTAAAAGGAATAAGATAAAGGAAGTAGAAAATGTGAACGGGAGGGAACAAATGGAGTGGAACAGAATGATGGAAGAGGCAACTGATCAAGAAGCATCAGAAACTTAGATGGACATATTGAATGCTAACCTCCTTGTATAACCTTTTGAAGTCAAAGGAAAAGTAAAATAAAAATAAAGACATATATGAGGCAGGCACTCGTACTTCACTCTTGTAATCTTAGCTATTCAGGAGGCTGAGATCTGAGCAGCACAGTTCAAAGCCAGCCCAAGCAAAGTCTATGAGATTCTTATCTCCAATCAACTACTTGGAAAAGCTAGAACTGGTCCTGTGGCTAAAGCCACAGTGGTAGAGCACTAGCTTTGAGCAAAAAAAGCAGCTCAGGAACAGTGCCCAGGTCCTGAATTCAAGCCCCAGGACTGGCAATCAAATCAAATCAAATAAATACATATATGACTTTAAAATGATTCTTTTGTATCAAGGTTTTGATGCTTCACACCAAAGAAAAAGCATCATCACATCTAACACTGTAGAATGATCTATTTTGCAAAGATGTTTACAGAAACTGATGCCATGTTGTTTTCAGGTCTCTTAAAAAAGGGATATTATAATCATAGAACATCCACAGAATTTAGTATTTTGGCAGCTTGCATAAAATTGGAAAGCAGTAACTATCTTTAAGAGATAAATTACAATGAAACCCAATATTTGCACTATTTTTGAGAGGGAAAGATTGCTTTGCACTGAACAAAAATACTTGTTTGCTTAGTCTCCAGAAATTCTTCTTCCAATGGGCATACTCCAGAGCACAAGGTACTCCCTCACCTATGAGCAATCCAAATGGGTTAAGGGGATGATTTCCAAACACATGTGCTATCAACCCTTCCATTCCAGTGCTGAAAAGTGAGAAGACATGTAAACATATACATTGATTGCACAGCATTTGGAATTGAAGAGGGCTTTTTGGGTTTTGATTGGTTAGTTAGTGGCAACTGCTACCCTTCAAGATAAACAAGAAATGGGGAAGGACCTCAGGAAATCCAAGGTACTATCTCCTCCTTGCCTACTGGTCTCTACAGTTCTGCTGTTGGCTGGGTGCTGACAATACAAACCCCAGAGTACATGCTATTTAGATTACAGAGGGGGAACAGGCTAGCCCTTAACAGAAAGGCTCAGTCTACACAGGACACAAAATGGAGATTGTCAGCACCATCTTGAGCTCTGTTTTATTTTCTGAGGCAAAGTAATTCTAGATATTTTTCGCAGTTCGTAACTGGTCAAGGGTTTCTCCTCTACAACCTCTTAAAAAATTCAACTGGGCTGATTTGTTTCCAGGCTGTAAAACCACAAACACTAGCAGTTCAGGAGACAGTAGCTTCAGGAGCATAAAGGGAAAAGAAAAAAAGAAAAAAAGACCAGCCAACTGGTTTGATCTGTGGAGAATTCTGTCCATGCTGCCCCTCCCCCTCTTCTAAAAATTTTGTCTTCTCAAGACAAAGGATGCTTATTTAAATGTAGTAAACTCTGCAAATGAAAATTCCTCGAAAGCCTTGACACACATACTCAGCTGACACCATCATTTCATGGTCACATCTGCCAAATCTGGCCAAAAGGATCTCAGTATTCGTCAATCACATGGTTTGTAACAGGCTCTTCTCTTCAAATTCACTGCAAAGGCAGATGGACTGCTCACGAAGAGACCATTTCAGGCGTTGAGGATAATAATGACAAAAGTCAAGATTTAGGGTTCAGTTCCAGCTGATTTTATTTCCTTCTCAAAAAAAGTTATTTACAGAAGGTATATATCAACAATCTGACAGGCAGTGAACTTGACATGATTAGCTGGCATGATCTTTTTCTTTTTTTTTTCCCCCAAAACATTGTTTTTGTGGCCTTGAATTTTAAGACAAATATTCTACACGGCATATTGCACAGGATGGATGGCAAAAAAAAAGTTTAAAAACAAAAACCCTTAACGGAACTGCCTTTAAAAAGGCAGACGTCCGAGTGCCTGTCATGTTATATTAAACATACATACACACAATCTTTTTGCTTATTATAATACAGACTTAAATGTACAAAGATGTTTTCCACTTTTTTTCAATCTTTAAACACAACAGCTATAAACCTGAACACATATGCTATCATCATGCCATAAGACTAAAACAATTATATTTAGCGACAAGTAGAAAGGATTAAATAGTCAAATACAAGAATGAAAAACGCAGTACATAGTGTCGCGAACTCAAATCGGCATTTAGATAGATCCAGTGGTTTAAACGGCACGTTTTTGCTTATAAAAAAAGTGCAAAAAAGATGTGGTTTACAAGTTAAAGCTACAGGATCCCTTTTTGTTGTAAATGCACCAGTTTTAAAGCCTCTGGACAAAAACAGTATTAAAAAAATTTTTTTTTTCTTACAAGCAAACAGTGCTTGGTTAATTCTCCTCCCCATTTTGCAAGATGGGGCTGAAGGGTGGATACTGGTGGCAGGTTAAGGGATACTGTCACTTTAAGAAGCCTGCAGATTGAAGTGTAAACATGGAGAAATTAGGGGCTGATTTTTTTAAACTGTGTGAGATATTAACCAGCCTCCCTATTATAAAATCAGGAAATCCAAACAGCGATTTACACCGATTAACACCCCCTTTATATATTTTTTACAAAAATACACTGAGAAAATAATCAAACGTTTTCATCTCTCTTGTCTTTTTTTGTTTTTTAAAAGTGTCAAAAGTCTACATTTAAATATAAAAAATTAAAAGTTAAAACTCTAGCCCTTCAGTGAAGGAGACGTAAATGGCGTGGGAAACAACAACTACAAGAAAGAGAAAGGAAAAGAGAAAGAAAAAGAAAACAGAAAAGGAAGAAAGGAAAGCAGAAATAAATCAAAAGCAAAAAACAAAACAAAACAAAAAAACAAAAAAAGGAAGCAAAAGGGGAAAAAAAAGGGATAAAATAAGAGGGAAAAAATGTTTGGCCAGTATAAATACGTCCATATATAAAATGGCATCTGATTACATTTACAAGGAAAAAAAATACGAGGATGGAGCATCGGTGAGAAAAGAAAAAAAAACAAAACAGAGCACGTCTTCTCATTTACACCTCTAAGGAATAAACACATACACACTGAGAAAAAATTTGGTCCTGAATTGTTTCCTTTTTTTTTTTTTCTTCAAAAGTCCAGCACAGATTTGAGTTGCGTTTGAATCCTTTAAAGAGTTAAGAATGAAAAAAAGCTGGTGATAATTCTGTCGTAGGAATCAAACATAGCGCCATCTATCTGCTTTTTATATTATCCTACACTATTTTAAAAACTGCTCAACAGTCTTATACAGAAATCTTTTAAAAGATAGACAGGATAACATGCTATATTAACCCCACCAGTGAAATAATCCAACACCATCACGATTCCAATTAAGAAGAAAAAAAAAACCCTCTGTCCCCCACCCCCACCCCCACCAAAGACCACTCGCCCTCCGTGGACCCAGCACCAAAAACTCAGTCTCCTCCTCTCCTCCACGCCTCCGGCTCGGGGAAGTCTCCCCTCTGCTCCCGTCCAGACCGAGGGTGGAGGCCCGGGCCCGCCGCCTCCCTCTTCCCCCACCCCCCAACATGCCGATGCCAGGCCCAGCACCGCACCGGGACGGGGAGTCCCGGAGGGGGCCCACCCCCGTTCCCCCCCCCACCGTCCGTATTCTCCTTCGGCCCCCGCCCGCCGTGCGCCCCCCTCGCCCCCCGCGGTGGTGGCTTCCAACGAGATTCTCAGGTCATTTCCCAGCGCCGGGCACACTCTGGCTGCCCTCCTCTCCCCTTCCCCCTCCGCATCTCCTCTTCTGGCTGCAGGAGGAGCAAGGAAAAGAAGAAGAAAAAAACCAAAAATAACCCAAACCACACAACCACACAGGAATTCGCCAGCGTGCAGTCTCTCCGTCCCAGCGCCCCGCGAAGCCCCGGCCGCCGCCGCCGCCGCCGGGCTCGCCGCCTGGACCCAGCCCCCCCCCCCTCACGTCTTCACGAAACTGAACAAGAAAAAGAAGGGGAGGGGGCCCGGACTCCCCTCGGGTGTCGATCCACAAAGCGAAATCAAGTCAACAAAAATCCCAACCAAAGTTGGTGCAGGGAGAGGGGCGAGAGCCTCCTGCAGTCTCTCTAGAATCTTCTTTCTTGCTGGGGGAGGGGAGATGCACACACAAGTCCGGAAGCTCGTTGGAAGGGGGGGGGGGGAGTCTCTTCAAGCAAAGGGGAGGAAACTCGAAGTAGCTTTTTTTTTGCCATCAACAACAACATCAATAACAATAAAAGGTCGCCCCTGTCTACCCTCCGCGTCCCCGGCCTGGGGTGGGGGGGTGGGGAGCGCGGGAGCCCAGCGCCCCGGCGCCCCCTCTCCACGGCGGGGACGCGGCCACAGCCAGCCCTGCTCACGCTTCGTTTTTTTTTTCCTCTTCCTTTTCTTTTTTTTCTTTCCCTTTTTCTTTCTCTCTTTCATCTCCGCATCTGTTCTTTTCCTTTCTTTTTTCTGTATTTTTCTTTTTTGCTTTTTTTTTCCTCTTTTTTTTCCTTTTTTTTTCTCCTTCTCCTCCTCTCCTGGTGCGCCCCTCGGCCCTCCTGCTCCCCAACCCGGCCGCCCGTGCGCGCGCACACACACGCGCGTGCGCTCCCTTCAGTAGGTGAAGACCAGGTTGGAGATGCTGGACTCGAGCCAGTCTCCCGAGATCATCTCGCTCACCTCGGGCGTGCAATAGTCCGGGAACTCGAAGTGCGAACCGGAGCCCGGCTCGAAGTTAAAATCCAGGTCCCGATCCAGCGCCGACGACGAGCTGAAACTGCCCAGGGACATGCTCTCAAAGTTTGAACTGGGATTCAGGTCGAGCAGGTCGTCTTCGAACTCGTCATCGGAGGACGAGGAGGAGCCCGAGGACGACGAGGCGGACGAGTGCGACGAGGCCGAGGAGGACGCGTGCGAGGGCGCGCTGGACGGGGCGGGCGAGGCGGCGCGCAGGC